AAATTTATTTATAAGTTTTTTAAGTATATCTTTGACTTAATGAAAAGTAATATATATGAAAATATTATATGAAAAGTAATATTAAAATGCTAAAATATTTATAAGAATGTGCATTTATTAAGAAAATGTGCATTTAAAAAATAAATAATAATAATAAAATTCATTGCATAATTTTGTCGAAAGCCGTGTTTTGCAATTTAGGTCCCATTTTGCTGATTTAATTTTCAATGCAATATTCTTTTGAAATAAAATACGACAAGCGAGCAAATAAAATCCCTTAATTTTAATTTCAGTAAACACTTTAGAATAACTTCATGAACTGCAGTCGCTGTTCCATCCGAATATTTGGAATTTTACTATAATTCATAGTCACATTAAAAAATTTAACCATATTTATGAAAATTCCATATATTTAGCATACGAGCAGCATCACAACCAAATGCCTTCTTCTTAATCGCTCATTAATGTGAAACGTTCTAGAGGATTTTTACGATTGTTTTAGTCATCGTTCGAAATGCAAGGAAGCGCATTCAGAAGTGGCGTTCTGAAACTACTTTTACCCCCTCTCCGTGCTTCCAAATAAGTTCCCGTACGTCATGACTCGCTGTAAATTTAGCTTCACCTCTTTAAGTTCTCTTGCCTCGCCAAGCGATCGGGATATTCTAAGCGTTTGCAAGCTATCAAGGTTTTTCATGAAGAACTAGCGACAAAAATAAGAGAAAAGAAAATAATTCGGTAAAAAAATTAACCAAGTATATATATATATATAATATATATTTTTTCAATTTGTTACTACATTTACTAAATCTTACCTGTTTTAGCTTTACGAAAATCTGTTGATATTTGCTGACCTCATTATTTCTCTTTTCAAACGAACCCGGTAAACAAGGTTAAAAGGGCCTTTGTTGGCACAACTCTACTTTTAAAAAGGCAAAAGTAAATATCTCTTGTCGTTTATAAAGTTAGAATTCATAGAGTTTAAATACTTTAAGTCACATTAGAATCTCTATTAATAGTTATAAGCAGAGGTTAAATACAACTAAAACTTAAAATACAGCTTTAGAATGAACATTTCGTCTGATTGTAGTTTCACTCTACAAACTGATTTAAAGATAACACATAACAGAATAGCAGCTTCCAAATTAGAATTAAAAATAAGATTTATATAAATTTTAAGATTTTCTAATTCAATTCAAAATTTGGTATTAGAGAAAAAGCAAGTATTTTATTTTCTCATGTATTATTTTACTTCATATTTTAAATAATAGTTCACATGATATTTGTTCCATACAGATTTATGAATCAAAGTATCTTTGTTAAATATGTAGAATACATCATAAACCTTATTTATTGTTTTATTCTAAAGAAACAACTGTTTAATCTGTAGCTCTGATAGTTTTTTGATAGTTTTTAATTTTTTTATCGATTTTCATTATCAAGAATCTATGCACAAAAAGAAAAAACGAATTCCTTCGCTTCTGTGACTTAAAGCTACATCTCTGAGATTGTATTTTTGGCATAAACAGCTGAATCTTTATCTATATTTATAAACATTTTCTCATTTTGCAAGGATAGAATAAAAGTACGAACTCAGAATGAAGGAAAAGCGAAATTTTTCTATTAATAATATGAGAAAAATAAACAGAGTTATATTGATGTTATTACGGAATTTTGAAAACACAACATGCTTTAAACGAAGTGTGCTAAAACCTAACTCACACGGTAATTAAAACTACGAAATGCTAAGAAGATAGAAGCTGTAAAATTGAGTATTCCTTGCAAGTCATTTTCTCAGTCACTGTAGTATAAATGGCTAATATCCGGTGAAGAGGATGATACATTTTCCACAACATAAGTTTAGACACGTGTTGCTCATTTCAGTTCAATTAACGCAAAACAAATTATGAGATAAAAATTACCTTGCAAATGTTTTTAAAACCTGAAGCTTGAAGTATGAAACTAAAAGAAATGAGGAAGGAAAAGTATATCAAGAAAGGCAAGTAGATGGTATGTACAGGATATTCAATAAACACTGTTACAAACTTCATTTTCTTGAATATTGATTCTAAATATGTAGTTCTATCGGCAAAGACTTGTAGACAAAATAATCTACAAAACTGTATGAAAACACTTTCCTCATCGGATATGAAATGGTTCTATAAAAATAATATCATCCTTTATGATCACTGGAGAGAAAACCATCAGTTATTATATAAAATTTACAATGTCTTAATGAATTGAAAATAAAATGTTTCATATATTATTTATGCAAAATATTTGCGGGGATACTTAATAATAACAAATTTATAGACTTAAGTTATTTTTTCTATCAATTACCGTTAAACAGCAGGCTTTTTTTACATAACTCGAAATGGTACCAGCTATACCTTTCATTTGAGAAGATGAAAATTCTTTACTAAATATAACATTATAAATATTTTATCAACTGAGTTTTTTTCTCTAGAAATAGCATATACAAGAGTAAGTTTTATTTCTACAGAGTCTTCATACTCTTAAAAATATTTTCAAAGAATTCTCCATTTTATTTTAAGAAGCTTGGAAATTTGAAGTAACTATCTAGATCCAATATTTAAAGAAACATATTCTATAGCCGTCTTTTTCAAACAACCTTCATATAAAATATTTAGAATTGTAATATGTTTGAATGGAGGAATTAATACAGTGTGAATATATTATTCAAGTTCTAAAATTCATCTGCATGCATTATTCAAGAGTATATACCATACAGAAAAAGATATTTTCCCATTATCATAATAGTGCAGCAGCAGGTTATTTAAAAAAGCAGTAAAGTGAAATTCTTACGTAATTTGATAATGAATTTTATCGCAAGCAAATAAGTAACTCTATACAATAAACATTTATTTTAGAGGATACTTTTTCTAACATTCCGTTCTAGATAGAGAAAGCACTTCCTTGTTTGAAACATTTTAGTATGTAATATTGAAACATTCCTCCAACTCGCATTTAGAAATAAGCTCAATCACCTTATGATTGTTGGTTAATTTATTTTTCTTGATCGTCTGCTGAAAAACAGAAAATTCCATTCGTATCGACATCGGCTAATGAATGCTATACGCGTTGATCTATTCACATCTTTTCATTTGTTCATTACATGAGATAACAGATTTCAATTTCTATTGCAATGGAACTATTTTTAGGTCATCAATTAGAGAAGGAAAAAGTTATTTTATTTATTTGTAACAAAACGTTGTTATGAATGGCAACACTAGGCACTTTACTAGGCCTAAATTTGTTGTAATTTTTACCTTAACTAAAACCGGAAAAATTTCCAGCGCTTTCATCAGTGTTTTAATTTAAGAAGAGTATAAAAGAATGCTTTTGGTTAAAAAAGTATTTTCAATTTACAGTTGTACTTAACTTTCGAAGCAGAATTCTATAAAAAATTATGACTGTGTAAAATCTTGAAAGATTATGCTAAACAATTTTACTTCCAAAGAAAGAGGAGATTTTTCATACATGTTCTATTTCAAAAGAAAACCACACACTCTTTTTCGAATTATATTAATCGAAAACCTAATGCCTTTGAAATAGTTCTCAAATTTAAGTAGAATTTCGACTATTTTAAAATCTAACTATTCCTTGTTTGTAAAATAAGTTTAGAAATACTTCTGAAAAAATTAATACTGAATGATTAACATGTTCCGTAAACCACTGATTATCCACTTTATTTTTACTTGTATTGTCGTTAAATAATGAAGCAATATTAAACTCGCACTCACAATGAAAAATACATATTTGGCCAATTAAAAAGAAAGCTGGTTTTCTAATTGAACGTTACATTACAATCTAAGTAAATGGCGGTCACTTATTTTTTGCATTATTGTTTTGAAACTTTGCGATTTTTCAGCAATCAAGACAGATGTACGTGACAATAATGTCATAAAATGTTTACATTCAGATATACTATTAATGTTTATATTTTATGCTCTATAGTTTAATTATTCACATTCGCAGAGCGGCATTGGCAAATAATTTGAAAATTATAGGATGTCATATAAAATGCTCGATATTGCTCTTTATCTTAGAAGGTACTTTTAGAAGCAGCTGAGAACCGAACCTTTCCATATGTTAGCACACGAATTATATACAAAATTAAAGGTCAGTTATTGACACTATTTACACCAAGACGTAGATTTAAAATATCAAGATGGCAAACAATGTTATTTCGATATGCGATAACAACCTTTAAAAATATGTGACGGCATATTTTTATTACAGTATTAGTTTACTAATGCGGAGAAAGATCTTAATTAGGACTACAACGTACGATTAACGCTTCTTTTATTTTGAAATCAATCTGATATCAGTACCCTTAAAAACTAGATATTCTGTAAGAAGCCGTAGAAGCATTACTGTACGCACAATTGCCGATTCACCTGTTCAAAAACTTAAATGACAAACTGAAACTACATCCCACACACTTAGAATACAAACTATTGCTTCTGCTCTAGTAAAGAAATAGAAAATTACCTACATAAAGTGTATAGCATGACAAAAGCAATGTATGCCCAACATAATAGCGATATTCCATTGCATGTTGTTAACTATGGTATCCCATTATCTTCAAACCAGTCACTTGTTAGTTATCAAAATTATAACACACTCAGGTGCCTATCTACGTTTGTATCCAATGATTTAGAAATTTCTAGTATGAGTGAACACATACTTTGATAATCTTATAACTATTCACGAATACCTTCAAAATCTTAAATGTGAGTTCTGCAACATCACAAGATCCCAAGTCTATAGAATCTGTACAGTCTCATGCACAGTGTCATGCAAATAACGAATAATATTTACGAAATACAAAAGGGAAGATGATAACTTCCAGCGGCACTCAGCTCTTTTAACAGGCAAAAAATAGTCTTGAAACGATGACGGGTAAGTTCACACAAATTCCAGCGCGGCACAGTTAGGAGATGACTGGGATAGAAAAACATGCGTACTCGTCTACTTACACTTTGGGTGCTTTTCCAGAATAGCTTGTACCCGAACTTGGGTGGTAACTAAAAGAAAGCCGGGGGGAGCACGGCACACGACAGTAGACATGCTTCCAAAGCTCCCCCTTGCAAAGATTTTTGTTTGTTTGTTTTTAAAGTCCTCTCTCCTCTTCTCTGTTTCCTTCTTTAAAACGTTCCAGAGCGGTGTCGGACCGAACCACTCTGTTCGAAGCGGGAGGTTTTGCCGGAGTTATTGGCTCATCATTACGCATGTGCAGTCTTATTCTGCCATACTCACTCGCACATTTTCTTCTTCACATTGCCTGAGCCACCACGACCACATCATCCACTGTGTGTGCGTTAAGTTACCTTGATCGCGACTAGAATCGCATACAGCGTACGGAAGAATTTTGTATCTGCTAACTACGACTTTTCCCAGGTCTTAGTAATGTAACTATGGTAACCGGGACAGACACTCGGAACGACGCTGGCGCTGTCTGGCGAGAGCCACGGACGCGAAAGGAGGGGAGGGTCGGATCGGTTCCATTCCTCCGGGAAGATGATGATGAGACCCTGTAATTATTTGCGCTTTTAGAATCGGGTTGCGCTCGCATTTGTTTGCATTCTTCTGAAAATACCCGCTGTTACAGAGACAAATGTTTTGAGAAATGATGAATTTTTGAAAAGAAAGTTATTTTGATTAAAACGCTGTTGTCGCATATTGACGATTATCTATAGTGGGATGGTGAATCACATGGGAATGTTTGGGCCGTATGCTGCTAAATCTTAAATGAGTTTCACTTTTGTAACTTACAAACAAGCAACATATTAAAAAGGGACGATTTTTGAGACAGAAATTAAAAGAATTTAAAGTTATATTTAAATGTAATTTAAAAGGATTTAAAGTAGCTTTATTAAACTTGCAATTTGATCTACAGAAGGAAAGAAACATTTCATAAAAATAACATACATTTCTTAACTAATTCTCAATACACTTTTAGATTTATACAGAAAATAATTTTTTTTTCTCAAATGTCTACAGTAATGGAGCTCTACCTTTATTGCTCCAATACTCTTTCTTATCGAACTGTCCACCCTGCTCCAGTGTTTCTTTATTTTAATTGTGCATTTCAAGTGTTAGGTAAAACTGAAATTTGAATGTTATACGTTATAAAGATGAAGATAAATTTGAGTTTTATTATTATACACGTAATTATTTATAAATATGAGTTATCTATAATATTTTTAATTTGTAACGTGTTATAGTTATTGAATTTAATTAAGGAAACGTTATTCCTATTGAGTTATATGTCTAAATTGAAAGTTGTTTCAACTCTTTTGGATCACGTGAGTTCACACATGTCTTAGTTGTTCCTTCTTTACTTTTTATTGTAATCTGTTAAGGTAAGCTCGAAAAAGGCCCTGTCTAGATTAGGCAACTCCCATCCGATTAAGAAACCGCTAGTATATAATGAATCATAATCCTTAATTTTTGGTTGACTCCCATATTAAATATGAATTTCTTAATGTATCAGTTGAGCTCTTGAATAATGATAGAATAACTAGATCTCATTTCTTTACTATTCAAAATTGAAAAAATTCTAAAACATGTTTTCTTGTTTATTTCCTTTTTTTCAGAAAAAATTAAACCTGTTATCTACAGTTTATATAAACCCATTTCTCTTTTGAGGTCTCTTTTTCCTTATTTTTCTTTTTTTAAATGCTTGGAGAGAAACGAAGAGGTCTTTTTTTCATAAGAAAGGGAGAATAACAGGGCTTAAACTTAGTCGGAGCGCACCGACGCCCTAAATAGAATGAGCTCTGGTAATTTCTCGCATAACGGAATCGCATTATTAACAGAAAACTTTACTATCATTGCAGTATTTTATTTGTTAGTTAATGAAACTAATATTGATACTAGGATACTGAACTTGTATCTCGTTTTCGTTGGGAAGAGCACAATACATGCAAGAAGCTATCAAAGCTGAGACAGAAAACTTATTTTTTTTTAAATCGAAATACGATCCTATCAGGAAGAAGAATGGTTATGGACTATATCCATCTGGTCAAGAAAGCTTGGGCTGTATTCATCTTGTCAAAAAGATTTTGAATAGATAAGAAGCCAAAATAATGAAGCTATTTTAATAATTCTTTAAACTGCAAACTGTTTAAAGTATTTATCTTCTCTCATCCTTCGTCTTTTCACAATGAACTCACTCCCCATAAGTTTGTTTTGTTATTTCGTTTGATTTTGTTATTTTTTTATAATTCGTTATTAATTAGCTAAGTTTTCTTTGCTTTATTATTTTATTTAGTTTTATATTTTAATTGCATTTTTACCTCTTTATTTTTTATCTACCTTAATGTATTTATAGGTTTATTTATCGCTCCACACGTTACTTAACTGGAATCATAAATTATTTACTGTTTTAATATTTATTTATTGAATTTTTTATCATTCCTGACGGCCTCCTACGGGGCTCTGGTACTTCTAATCTTCGAAATTAAATAAATATTACTCGAAGCAAGTTTCCAGTGAATATAAGAAATATCGTCAAGGATGAAGAAAGAAGTTTATGATAGAACTGTAGAATTATAATGCTCATTTTTTGGAACAAGGAATCCTGAAAATTTTGCTATCTCCCTGAGAATCGAATTTAGTTCCTCTTATTTGTTACATTACAAAAAAAAGATCCAACATTCAGGAATATTGTATTTAATTTTCCTTCTTTCGACAAACAAATTAGTGCCTAATCTTTCTAATTTTTATTTACATAAGCGTATAGTATCTAACTCCCTTCGGCCGCATAAACTAATGTAGATCCACCTAATCACCCTGGAGACTTGTAGCACAGGCGTGAAATAATATCAGCACAGAAGAAGGGTGAAAATAACCCTTTATCATTTTAAACTATGAACAGAAAGGCACGTACTTCGTGCTTTACAATAACACCGATAACTTGCGGTGGAAACTAAGAATTTCTAACACAATAAATCCGAGTCTAAAAAAGTAGTGATACACTAGCACTTTAAATTACAACTAAACTAGGTTGTCTCGACAACCTAACAGGTGGGATAATTATTCAAATGGCAAAAAGGCATATCAACGTAATAGAAGGTCAGAAACAAAACGTGCTCTGGCTAGCGAAAACAGGCTCTGAATAAACTCCAAGATTCACCCGTTTAAATATTTACTTCATCTAACTTTAAATTCTCATCCTGACGAGGAAATGCGAGGGGAAATTGAGGAATTCAGGAAAGATAAAAAAAAGATTGAATAATAGATTAATTGAACTAAAGAAAATCCCAGAAGCGTTGCTTTGCCATTTTTCCTATCTTAGTAGGAAACGTTCATCATTTCCAGTGCTATCATCAGATTTAATATCTGTGTTGCCAAAGAATGTTGCAGAGTCATTACCAGACAAACTGAAATTAGATACAATAGCTAATCGAAAGCCTTTCTTATTGGTCTTTCCATTGTAGAATAAGTCATAAATAAAGTACAGACTATATAAAGTACAGACTATGTTTATAAATCGTAAGACCACTTCTGAGTTGAAAACAAAATTTTTCGAATTCACGAGAATCTGTTGATATACTATTATAATAAACCACATAAAAGGTAGTGCTGTCGTTTAATTTTATAATGAGATTTGAAACATCGAAAACGTTTTTCGGATCTGTACCTAAGTTATATTTTCATTCTAGAGAGTGGTGATTTGTTCAGTGCTTTGGGTAGCAGAATCAGTAGTGTAAAAAATAACAACTAACATCTCAGCCATCAGTGAAAAGAAGTGATCAACACGAAGCTAAAAATCTCAGTAATTAAGACTGTATTATACATGTTAGTTTCAAACTTCGAGCTTCTGAAATTTACCTAAAAAGACGGTAAATTTAAAGTGCTATTTTAAATTCATTGACTTATCCAGTAATTTGCAGTTCGGTAAAAAAAAAAAAATTATCAATTAAAAGCAGTTTACTAGTAATTTACTACTACATTAATTTTTTAGTCCAAAGGGGCTTGGTCCCTGAAGGACTGTTATTTCCGTTTTGCGATTTTGCGTCTAATCAATATAAACAGCGTGTCACTTTTCAAATTGTTGCAACCAAATGTTAGAGTCCTGCGTTATACTTGAAGAAATTAAATAATGAAGAATTTGCATAAATGTATATATGTTTCTCGCATTGTGATAAACCAAGGGTACCTAGAGCTATCCAATTTTGAATGACGTAATCCTACTGCGAATATGGGCATTTGAAGGCCCAAATTTGAAATTTGGAAATTATTTTATTATCAATTTCATATTTTGTAAACCTTTAACGAATTTTTGATTAACTCCATGATTTAAAAGCGAGCAATGGTAACTCTCTACGGGGAAAGAAAACCTTTTTAACTCCAGCGCGTGAGACTGTGTATCGGAAAATCTAAAGATATGCACATATTAAAATTATTTTGCGACATTGCTGTTGAACTGAATTTTATGGTGCACAAGTGCAGAGAACATGATAGTAATAAATAGTAATTTAAAGTGCAGAGAACATGATAGTAATAAATAAAGGCAACACACAAAGTTTCTTTGGACGTAATTTAAAATCTGAAACCTTTCAAAATTTTTTTTTCCAAAATAGTTATTGATAAAATCAGGTAATATGATACACAAATGTACGTTTTATACAAAATTTATCCGTCGTTACAAAATAAATGCATTTTGTAATATGATTAAAATATATATTATTTTGATGAAAGAGTACTTTTTTGATGATTTTTACTATAAATATATGTGACATAAACATTCCAAACAATTCAAAACCATTTTAATATACAGCAATACCACGTTTTCGGCTTTAATCAGTCCAGATTCTCTAATCCGGTTTGAAAGTTTCAAAGCAAACTAAATTTTAATTGAGAAAATATAAATAAATTTAAAAATACAGTACAACAATTTTTTATTACGAAAATAATCGTTTTTTGCATTTATACAGTTCGGTCTCTTTTGTGTGACTGTTTTGTTGTTTTAAAATCATGCGATATGATACTGTTGCGCTTTTCTTTTCCTGTCACCAGATGTTACGTTATTTTCTTCCTTCATGTTCGTAAGGGTTTCGTGACAATTTGGAGTGAATAATGACAGTACTACTTAAGGAAGTATCAAAACACACTTTATTGGCCAGTTTTGTCAAGACAGCTCCAAAACACGTTTTTACAGTCGTCGATGAACTACTATAAACACGCTGACACAATCAACGACACAGCCTTCAGGTTATCTGGCTATCACGGTGGAAACAGCTTCACTGCAAAGCACCAGAGTACAGCTTCCGACTTTGCTCCGTCGTTCTTGGAACTACATACTCTCGAGACTCTCCACGCTACAACTCGCGATGCACTCGACGACACACAGAGCACA